TGAGGATGTTCTTCAGTAACAAATAGTGTTGCATATTGTATCATATTATTATATTAAATGTGTCATTTACTTCTCTTAAGTGAAAGGTGTTATAGCATTGTAATACTTTAAGTACTATCTTTTCAGATATTGTGTTTATAGTATTTTAAATGGCTATGTTTCTAAATTAAGTTTTTACTATTTGGAATTACTTGAGCAAGTTAAACTTTAATATACAGAAATGTACCGTATCCACAAATGGCGGTTTAAAAATGGAAAACGCGACATTCCCTCCTAATTGAACGATATTTAGTTATTTCTTGTTGGTTTACTTTTTAACGAAAGAATTTCGCTGAAAATCACCAAAAAGAATATTTTATTCGCTTATGCAATGAAATGACGTCCTTTCAGTTTTCAGATGCATTTGTTCTAGTTCTTTATTGGCGCTCAGTGTATATTTTAATTTAAGGCACGGGGGTTGAACACAACACAGACGTCTCAAAACTGGTGTACATTGAAACTCGTGGTTGCATGGAATTCAGAAGGTCAATGTTAATCCATTTTAGCACATTGCTCGTCATGAATATCAGAGGTGATCTTCAATAAGAAGCTTATCACTGTGCCGTGGAAATGTGTTATGTTCTTTAATGAATACAGAGATCTTTTCTGAAACGTGTTTCATCGGGCATTTCTCCTTAAAAAAATTTGTTCTATATGAAAGCTTAACATTTTTTTATAATTTAAGCATTATGAAATGCACAATAGCGATACTGCATTTCTTTAATTCTAAGATATACTTTTCAGCTTAATCCCGTTTGTACTGAAAAAAAGATCTTTAAATCTAAAAAAATTAAATAAAAAAAAATATGAAAGCTTTCAGATTTGATATTATGCCCAAAGGGAGAGGGTTCGTTTACACATATACACGTTTCGAGAGCATTTGGGCTAATGTCCTTTTAGGCTAAAAATAATTAAAGACAGCATAGCTTTAGAATTTCCGATAGACAGTCTGGCGCGCCTTTTATTCCGTACAGTGTGTTGCCACTCAACGATTTCAATCGTTGAGATTCTTAATAAAAATTCGTTAAAATTTAAAAAATATGAAGCAGATGATAAAACAAATTCGAAATTCAAGATTCTGACTTCCATGTACCCATATTCGGGTGGAGGATTACATTATTCAAAATTTGATGTTTCTAGGTATCCTCGTTTTTTCACAGTTCAAGAAACATACATACACACATTCATTCTTCATTATTTAATTTCTTTAAATATAATACTGAGCGATAATATTTGGTGGCAATAATTTGAAAAATAATAAAGATTGTTTATAGTGATTAAACGCAAAATACCGTTCCAAGACTAATAGCCTTTCGGGCTGACGCCTCTTTGGCAATATATATCTCCCCTTGGACAGATAGTCATAGAGTGCTTTGCTATCTATATACTATATATTATATACAAAGAAGAATGTCTGTGTGTTTGTTTGTTCGCGATTAACTCAGTCACTACTGTAGCTATCGGCACCAAACTTCTTACAATTTTTCTGGGTCGTTTAAAGGTCGAAGTCCACTTTCTTCCAAAAAGAAATAGCTAAAATCAGAGATATTAATTAAAAACTCGAAAAAACAATAATTTTCGCCTTCATTTTCCCCAGTGGCAACAGTCTCGCAAGCTGGAGATGAAAATCTGCTTATTTCGAAAGTTGTTGCCACTGCTCGCTTTCAAACTCTACAGTTTGTTAATAAAAATTTCGAAGTTTAACGATGAAATAAAAATAGCATTGCCAAACATTAAATACATTATCCCCGATTCCAAAAAATTCGTGGGAACGCATTACGGCTATTCCCATCTTCGTACGACTTTAATCAGCCGAAATATTACTTAAAAACTCTGAAAGCGCTAATTTTCGCCTTCATTTTTCCGAGTGGCAACAGTTTCGCGAGTTGGAGATAAAAATGCTTTATTTGGAAAAGTGCTGCTACTGCTCGCTTTCAGATAGAAGATTTTATTAATCAAAATTCGTAATTTTTACAAAATCTATACATATAAAGAAGAATGCATGTTTGTGTGTCTTTTTGTTTGTTCGCGTTATTGATTTCTGATCAATGATGATAAATGTTTCGCAACATTGAATCGACTGAACTTGAAGGTGAAATATTGATGGAACTTATGCTTTTACGCCCATTTGATTAGAAAGACGAAAATCATTAAAAACTGCGTGCCATTACTGCTTATATAATGAGAGAGAATTAGCTCAATTTTCTATCGAAATTTTTTATGTGGGTTCCATATCGCCTCAGAATAAAAAATGTATGACCGCGAATTGTATTTTTTGCATCGTTATTAAAGAAGGATTACAGCTATATCGTTCTCTCTGCTGTTAAATGCATTACTCTGAATCTAACTTAACTATCATCGGGTACTTCCGCTAATAAGATAATAAATAACAATATAAAGAACTGGTATTTTTGAAAGTTTCAGGTTGCAATCTAACATCTCAGGTAAGATATTTTTTCTCAATAGGTAGGAAAAAATTAAAAATTCAAAAAAATTGAGATCTTTAATAAGATTTATAAATATCAAAAGAAAAAAAATCACACAAATATTACGCTTGTATTCTGAATAAAAATAATATGTACACTTGCCTCAAAATTAAATTTTTATTGTTGAATATAGTTCAAACCCGCAAAAGAATTTCAATTTCGGCTTTCTTTTTACCTTTCTTTTTTAATCGCAAAGTGGTGTGGAAGAAGAATATTAAAGATTTAAAATTAATATTGTCGATTGAATAAAATTATAAATAGTCTTCTGATTTATATATTACTAGCAGCTACACGGACAGCGTTCGTCTGGCTTTTAAATGTACCAGGAAAATGCCTGAAGGGAACACCAAACGTTAAATTTAAAAACTGCGCAGAATTTTACTCTCCAGAAAAAACTTCATTAAAAAGAAAGACCACAAATTAAAAAAATAATGTGTTACATATAACAAAATTACAACGAAATAAGCAATAGCCCTTAACACAAACATTAATTATACTAATAAATAAATTAACCAACTTTCCGTTGCCTTCTCTCGACAAACGTCCAGTATCCAAGAGAAATATTAAATTTAAAAACTGCACAGAATGATCGATCGCCCTCATTTTTCCGAGTGGCAAGAGGGCTGATTTTCAACAGTCAGCAGTCCAGTATACAATTGAATGAAAAACTGTTACCAAAACCACATTTCTAAAAGAATGAATCTATTCAAAATGATGCGATAAAATCGAAATGATAAAATAAAAAACAAATCTGATTCGAATTTTGAAAAAATTTCTTCGAGGTGCACTGGCTCTTGTCTAGTTGCACCTATATACCAAATTTCGTAGCCCTGGGTCTATTAGCTTACGCGCAGCATGGACGAAAGACAGACTCTTTCTTTTATTATATGTAGAGACTACAGAATTTCATTCTTAATAGTTTATTATTATTTTTAAAACAGACGATATTGCGCACAAGAGCTATAATTAGAAATTTTACAGTCAGCCTATTATAGGGTGTTAGAATCTTATTTCATTTATTATATAGTATAAAGTATTTGTTGTTAAAAAATATTACTAAGAAGTCCAGGTAAAATGACTTTTTTTTCAATTTCTGTTAGTCGATAACAGATAGATTAAATTTGAGGGATCTTACATTTTGCCGAATGGTATTAGACTGGAATGAAAAGAGGAAGAATGCATTTACAGTGAATCAACGCAAAAGCGTATTTCGAGACTTTAAAGCTCTTTTGATCTAAAAAACGCATAAAAATTACTCTTTAAGTCATTCAATTTGTTATGCTGATGAGCAATACGCTTTTATTATATAGATAATAAATGAAATATTTTGTATTTTTTAATTCACAATACCTTTCGAATTATAATTTGTACAGAACTACAGTGCTTAAACGGTACAAAATATGAGTTAATCAACTATTGGCTCTTATTAGTAATGTATCTATCTGAAAAGTCAAAATTTACAGGAGTTTCTGCGAAATAGGTATGGATATTGGATGTTCTAAACCTAGTGTAAAAGGATTAAAATCATCAATACGAAAGGAATTCAAATGTAATTTAAATTTTCTGAGATTCTGAACTGTAAAAGGGATTTAAGAATTTGGATTTACGACATCGAATATTACTCAAAACTATATTTTTACAATAAAGATGTATATGCTTTTGCACACAAAAATTATTGCTATTTATCATCTGATGTAATATTAAAACAGTTCTATGAAATCGCACCTATGCATAAACTTGTAAAATTCAAACTTAATAGGAATCAGGATAGAAAATGTAAATAAAGTTAGTAACCGATTAAACAGTAAATGAAGAACGCAGGTATATTAAAATGTTTTTGAATGATTATAAAAATTCTATAATATCTTCTATAACGCATCGAAAATGATAAGTGTTAAATAAAAGCTACCCCATGCACTTAATTATTATTTTATTCTATTTTTTATCAGGTTATAGTATTATTTACTTTTTATTTCTTTTATGTTACTCAGTTATTTTTTTCACGCTCTCTTTCTTTCTCTCTCTGTATATGGAAAAACCAAGTGTGATATTCTTAAAAATAATATTATTGAAGGGGGAACAAACAACCTCTTAGAAACATTCGAAAACACTTAAAACATTACAAGTATTTCTTACATTAAAACTCTTATAACATTCTTATGAAAAACTCTAAAAGTATTATTACAAATTGTTTTAATATTAAAACTCTTATGAATACTATTAATTAGGTGTTTTTTAATATATGAAAATCAAATGTAATAATTATGAAGCGAAGCGTATTTTTTCAAGATGAAAAAAAATATCCGCAACATTGGTTTTCCAAAATTGGTATCGTAATATTGCGATAATCCACGTAACAAAATTTTAATATAACGCATGGAACACAATGATGCAACGTACAAAGAAAAACGTAGCCCTGCTATCTTTTCTGTACATAGTAAATATTCTAAAAATGACATATAAAATTAAACTGACCTTTTGATAATAAATTCACTAAAAGTATCCACAAGAGCATTTTTCACGGGTTGAAAACCACAACACCGTTCCTTACAAAGCCGCGTTGCAAGAACCGCTCATCTTTTCTGAGAGCTCAAACGATATTGCGGGGAAAAGTTTCTCGTTGCGCTCGTGACGTCAAAACCCTCCGCCAATGAGATGACGAGTTTCGAAACGGAGCAAGGATTTGCTCTTTTCGCCGTAAGAGAAATAGATTTATACGTTAAACAATAAGAAATAAAAATAGAACTCGAAATATAAACACGCAACTTTAAGTTAAGACTATTAAAAACATGCTGTGTTGTAGAGTTTCTTTAGAATGGTCGAAAAAAATTTTATTTTGATGTCGGTCATAAACCCAGTTAAATACTCATCATTCGAAATGCGACTTCTAATAATCTCACTTATTTTTTTTGTCCGCAGACAAATACTTTTCCTCTTGTTCTTAATCACTTTAAAATGTGCTTTGATATGAATTCCAGAATGTTAAAAAAAACTTTTTTTTTTTTTTGGTGCAACAAAACATTGTTGACCTTGATATCTTTGATCATTTTCAATGGCATACTTTCCCCTACCTTATAAAAAGTCTTATAAGAAAACTATTTAACTGGTACCAAACAGTTCAGTAAATTCAGTGTTGCTCTGAAATATAAGTCAGCAAGAAAATCATTCAAATACATTTCCCTTCTCTTTTCAAATTTAAAAACTATTTCACAGTTGTCAGTTAACGTTACTGCTGTTGTAATCAAATATTCTTTTTAAACAAAATTTAAAAAAGAGGGGATGATGGGATACGGATAGTTGAGAATTTTGAATTGCTGTAGAATTTTATTCGTTATCAATAGGTTTTGCTTCATCTAAAACGAAACTTGTTGATAACTAATAAAAAAAAAAACTGATACAGGGTGTTAATTAGAATTAGAAACAAATTTTGTAGTTGAGCATGGCATTAAAATCTTTGACATTAGAAATTTTCTTAATAGAATCTCATCAAAATTTTTGGTTGTTTGCTTTATGATAAACTAACAGCTCGTGCAATCAGCTGCCTAAATTTTGAATTCCATTATTACAAAAAAGAGAAATATGCAATGATTTTAATAAGCTCATTTAATGTAGTTTCTTAGATCCAGCTAGTAATTACAAATAATAAAGATGAAAAATAGCGTTTATTCTTCTTTTAGTTTGCTAATTAATAATATATAGACTAAATCTGTAAGAAAAAATTAATGTGTTACCCTTTGCCGAATGGCGATATAGTCGTGCGAGTTTGTTAATCATTAATAGATAGATTAAATTTTAACGTTAAATATCTTACGCTTTGTCTAATGGCTACATACTGGCTTGTGAAAGATAAAAGTATTTTATTTCTAGAAATGGTAGCATAATTACTTTCAAATTGTCGAATTTGTTGATAAGTTTGTGAGATAACTATATTACACTTTGCGGAGTGGCAACACACTGTCACGCCGAACATTGAGTAGTGACAATACATTGCTTTTAAATCGCTTAGTTTGTTAATAAAAAATCACTAATTCGCCCAAAATATGAAATAAATAAAGGCCAAATTCGAAATTCAAAATTCGGTCTTCGATTTTGGATGGAGAACTACATGTGTTCAAAATTCGGGGACTTTAGGTGACACCGTTTTTCTACAATGCGAGGAACATACAGTACATGCATACATACATGTATACTTATTATTCATTATTTAATAATAGAAAAACATGGATTTCTGTTCTTAGAAATATCCTCTCTTTTCAGATGTGGTTGGCATAGGTTTCCTTGTATTTATTTTAGAAATATATATGCTGTGTTACTGCAATTGTTCCTAATAAGCAAAGCTTAGTTTATAATGTTATAGATTTGAAAGAAACACGATTGCTATTATAAGTTTCGCTGCTAGGAAAATTATTTTTAATTAATTTGAATATTTCATAATCTTTAAATGCAATTATTTTATTGAATAATTTGTCAGCATTTCATTGAATAATTAATCTCTCATAAAAATTGCTTCGGAAGCTAAATTGTCATAGTCATGTTTACTTTTTATACTATTTTCAAAATGTGGTTCATTTGAAATTCTTCAGATGATTTAATTTTACTGTCCATTTTTAATGTATGAAATGCAAATGGAATAGGAATCCATAAATTACTTTCAAATCAGCCTTCTTCTTGACCTGACGAGTTCCTTAAAAAGGTATATTCAGGGAACACGATTATTTTTAGTTATTGAATACTATGTTTCTTTTGGTAGCACCAAAACATCTTCATGATATTGAGAAGCTATACGATTCTTGTCAATTATAATTAGATGTTTATTTATTACAAGCGAAGATAATTTTATATTATATTATAAAAATCATATTATAATCTTATTATTAGAAAATATTTAAAACATCTTATATTAGGAAAGACGAATGTGCAGTGGACGCAATGTATACTATTTATATGTGAGACATGAATTCATGAAAGTATCCGAATGATTTGCGACGAATATCTTTACATGTAAAATTATTCACAACAGTTGAATGAGTTTTTGGCACACAAGAGTTCTAATTCAGTGTCTGAAAACATTAGAAAATATCAAAATGGTTAGTTTAATTATTCTTTATTTCGATGCTGTGAATGGCAAAGATTTGCAAAACATTTTAAAATAGATTCTTACGTTTTAAGACTTTTATTTTCGAAAGCAGGTAAGATGTAAGTTTTGTGTTTCAAAATTGTGAATTTTGAGATTCTAACATTAAAATTAATAAAATGGCATAAACGTTATTATTATGATCTAAATTTATGATTTGCATTCTGTGAGCCCTTTTGATGTTAGCTTTAAAATATGAGATGAATGACCTTTGAATAATGAGTTGCTTTCTTTACGTATTATTTATACTTTAGTTATTATTCTTAGAATTAGTATCTTGATTAAGATGATTCAGAAAAGTTAAGGGGGAAAACTGGTGAAGAAAAAATTTATATAGCATGCACATACACCTGCAGCTGGAAGCATTCAAAAAATAATAATTACATGCTTTTTTTAATCTATAAAAAAAAAAGGCCCTCGGAAAAAGAACATAAATAATATGTTTTGTTTTATATAATTTATGCTTTTTTGTTAATATTAACTATTAAAACAATTAATTAATTAATAATATTAGCTATTAAAATGTTTGTAACCTCGACACCGGTTGAGATTACAAAAAAGTATTACGAACATAAAAAAAAATATATATATTATGTTTAAAAATATGCATGTGTAGGGATGAAAATAAAACTATATTGACATTTCTCTTTCAAACCACTACAGAGGCCCTCATCTGATCAATGTTTATGTTTACAAGAAATGTCGATATTGTGTAAATACGCCCACAAGAAATGTTTCCAAAAATGTGGGTTGTAAAAATCAATCTGAGAGAGATCATTGAGCATAAAACATTTTAGTTCTGTCTGTGCGTTCGGATGGGTTGAGCAGTCGATAAAGTTTAGTTCTCTCGACGAATTAATCTCAATATTAAAACATCAAAAAGTATTCGAGGTAACTGGGGACTCAAAACAAGGGCTGAGCATTGACTAGGACACAGGTCCGTTGGTTGGTCATTTTGCTTTAAAGCATTATTCGATTTATTAGAAATTTGTGAACGTATTTACACAATATTTACGAACCAATTTTCTGAAGCGACACGCTACATTAAAACATTTGGCTGCCTTCAGGATCTGGGCGATCTCACGATCATAAAGTCTAGTCACTTTAACATAAAATCTTCATATCATAAATCTTTATACAAATAAAAATTTCTCGATATTCTAAATAGTCAGTTCAGCGAAATCCTGCCCGCAAGCATTATATTTTTATGAAATTCTAATTGAGATTACCTTAAATTTGTAAAACGCATTTCTTTTTAAAATTGCTTATTATATGGAAGCATATGCTAATAAGTTGATTTCTCTATCATATGTAATTATATATTTTATATATTTTTAGCCCCAAGGGGCAATTTGCCCAGAAGAGCTGTTAATTTCATTTTGGCATTTTGCGTTGAAAACTTTAAATTTCAAATTGCTGCCACTAAATATTAGAACACTGTATTATATTTAAAGAAATTAAATAATGAAGAATCTGCATAAATGTATGTATGTTTCTCGCATTGTGGTAAAACAACGGTTCCTAGTACTATCAGATTTTGAATAATGTACGTTTCCACCCGAATATGGGCATCTATAAGCCTAAATTTGGAATTTGTTTTATTATCGATTTCATATTTTGTAAAGCATTTATGAGTTTTTGATTAAGGAACTGAAAGATTACAAAGCGAGCAATGGCAATACTGTACGGAAAAAAAATATCTCCAGCGCTCGAGACTCTGTATCAGAAACTCTAAAAATATGCTCTTTTAAATATTTTGTGATATTGCTGTTGAATTTAATTTAATGTTTTAAGTGCGAAGAACATGATATTTAATAAATAAAGGTAACCACAAAATACTAAAAAAAAAAAAAAAAAAAAACCCCACCAATTTGGGCGTAATAAACATATAACATATAACTTTTTTTCTATGTAAAATTGTATATTGAAGCATTTTATCTATAGATTATGTGATCTAAGGCAAAGAATTTGAAATACAAATGTAAAGAAACCATTTGGTCATTAAAATTGTAGAGGCTTAGAATTATGCTTTCATCAGAACTTTGATTTCAGAAGGAATTTTTATATGGGGTTTTGTTTTAAGATGCTTGTAAGAATTTATTTTTTATATAAAAGTATAACTTAATTTCGATTTTTAAAATTATTTAAGGATACCTGAACCCCTAATAAAAGACTTTTCCTACATACTATATTTTTTTATTATGCAACTGCACGCACACATAAAAAAGGAATGCGTACTTAATGGCTCATTCATGATATAAAGATTCAGAAGAGTTCTTCTACATCATGCTGTGTGCAATAAACAGCAGCTTTCATTTGTCCTTGTATTGAATCTCTTCATTAATTTGGGCATTAACAGACCTCTTGAACCTTATTAGACTACTGGAAACTACGTTCATAAACACGAGCTTGGACAAAGAAAGACAACATAATTTAAATATTTGGCCTTCACTTTTGTTCGCTGTGCGCCGTTATTGGTAGAAAATTTTA